GCATACAAATATGATTTTTATGTTTGCTAAACCTAAAATTTACTCTAATTAAATAGAGGAACTTATATAAATCTGACTAGTTTAGGAGCGCCTAATTACTTAAGATACATCAAAATACATGTATCTTGGGAACACGGGGTCAAATTTAGGTGTAATTTGTTCTAGATACATTGTATCCAAGTGCATTCACATGTATCTATCTGTGATAGATATCAAATCTCGCTCGCTTCCCTCGCGTCTCTCCCATCTCACTCGCCACCCTCTCATACATCGGGTATCCCATATACATGCAAATCACTCCAGATACATACGAATTTTGCTCGCCTCTCTCCATATTTTTGTGTATCAGATAGCAAAAACACATGTATCTAAGCGTAAGATACATAGAAAATTCTTAATTAGTGGTAAAATACATAATATTTTAAAAGTATGAGTAATAATAATATATATGGTAGTGAAGTATGTCTAATTATATAGTTTTTCCTATTAAATATGAAAATTTTGATTTGAGTTTCTGATTTTTGGATTGAAAAAATAATAAACCAAATAAATTTAGAGTAAATTATATTTTTTTTAAGTTAAGTTTTGGGATTAAATGATTTGAAACTGTCATCAATTTTGCTTTATCAGTTATATCCAATAGGTGCCTTGGAATAAATTCCTCGGCCACTTCATCATCTTTAGTTCCAATTAATTTCCTCTATAAAAACCCTAAGGTGTTGGGCCACTTATTGAGAGAGTGGGAGGCCCAAAACATTCTGAAAATTGAATTAAAGATGGGGTAAACAATTGGCTAAACTTGCAATTAAATAATAGCCAAAATGAACTTCAATTATAGCCAAATCGAATTAACAATTTAACCGAATGAGTTTAGTTGGTAATTTGGCTAAAAACTAGATAAGGTGAATTAATAAAAATTAATTAATGAGCTTCTTAATCTTAACAAAATGAAATAATCCACTTGATTATAAAGTAATTAATTTAAGTATAAACTAATTGACTCAAAATATAAACTACCATTAATTAATTAAATATTTAATTAAAACTAAAATCTTTTTTTTTAGACGATTTTTGAACATTCATAAAATGTACTAATTATATAAAACTTATATATTATTCAAAAACTATAAAAATGACAAAATTAGTTTAAACTAACATGAAAAATATTTTAAATTTTATAAAGTCGGTTATTTTAAATCGTTGAAAACTGAAGAAGCTCGATGATTAATTCATATGGTGGAAGGTCAAAATTGGGTGTCAACAGTATTTATTATAGAACAATTATTTATTCAATTTTAATAGATCATATATTCGTTTATGGTGTCTGTTTACTTATATAGTAGATGATTTAGTGTATAGAGTTTTAGCTTATACACAGAGGATTAAATCATCGGTTTTTATAAGTATAAAGTTTTTTGTTCACAATATAGGATGGAAATTGGACATGTCATCGGTACGATTGTAGCACAAGATTATATATAATTTATCGTGATTATGGGAACGGTATAGTTCCAACTTCTTGTGCTAGTGCATTTTGTATGTATTGAACGGGACCGAGTAGAGATAGTTATTTTAGATTGACTGACAAAAACATATTCTCTAAACTATCAAATGTACTTATATTCTTAATCCTGATATAGCTATTATGATCTGTATATATTAATTATCATTTTGATTTATTAAAGGTGAGATTCTAAGATTGGTCAATATGCATGATAGATTGGATGATAATAATAAATATTGGTGAAATTATAAGTTAGTTGATGGAATCCATGTCTTGTTATAGAGATCGATTGATATGTTTTTTTGAGAAACTTATAGGTTTTCATCGTGTCAAACCTTGCAAGTGGATTTATGAATCCGACACATGAAATAGGTTAAGTAATGCTCTAAAGGAAATTAATCATTGAATTAAATTCGTCAGTAATTTAATATATTGATTAGTATCTATAATCTTAACATGGGAAATAACATAAGTGTTTAATGGAGAATTTTGAAATATAAATAGAGGAGTACTGTCACACCCCGAGTCTATACCTTGGACGTGGCCGACACTCGAGAACCATTGCTAGTCCCCAAGCAAATCCTTGGTCTGACTCAATACTCAGCGAAAGACTTACTCAACAATATATGAACTCAAAAGTAAAGATTTTCTCATATGTATGTTGCATTATTTGACCGGATTTGTATGCAACAAAAATTTTGTAAGTAAAATTCAAATCAAAATTTTCTTATCCATTCGAACCGTCTTAGGTCCGCACCTAATGGACCTAAAAGCACATTGAGTGCAGTCTCGTGGGTGCGTAAAATGTGTAAACAGGGCATGTTCGTCACTACCTTCATATTAATTTTCAATTTCAATTGACTATTCCAATGGCCGTATATGTGTGGCACGTGATATGTCTATTTCATATCATCAGAAGCATTGAAAAACTCTTAAATTCGGCGTGAATTATCAATTTCATCATCAAATTATTGTATTGAATGTCTTAAAAACATCTTTTTACTTAACGAACTGAACTTAGATACTAGTAAAATGACAAATAAAAATAAGAATTTATTTTTGAAACATTAAATAACTAAAAATGAATGGAAGAAAGTATTTAATAAGTATCACTACAAAGAGTCAAAGATTAAAAATTTCAATACGTAAGCTTGTAAATTAATACATTCCCTTTTAGCTAGTAAGCAATTTTTTTTTCTTTTCTTTTATAGTGGATCGGAGTTGGGATTTTTGAGAATTGTGTACCAGAATAATTCAAATATGTAATTCAAATACCCATGTTTGATGTGTAAACGTAATTGCCACACGAAACTAGACTATCCCTGATTGAGAGATGTCATCTTGTTTGGCCTAATTCATGTGTTTTGGTTTTGGTCAATAATTATATATTAATTTCTACCAAACTCAAATTTAGGCCAGGGCCGTGACAAGTTTGATCATTAGATTAAGTGTGCAATAATCAAGGAATGAATGATAATTTTGTGATAAACTCAAGGAAACAAACATGTGTTGAATTGAAGAGTTGGAGTTCGACTACAACACAAAAGAATCAAAGAGTTTGATTTAAAGAATTAAGGAATTACACTTCAAGTAGAACTCTAGGTTAAAAGAGTTTGAATAGATGATGAGTTTATACATGTATTGAACTGAAGAGCTGGAGTTCGACTACAACACAAAAAAATCAATAAGTTTGTTTTGAAGGAGTTTAAAGTGGCAAAGAGTTTGAGTTGAAGGAGTCTTACTTAAATATAACTCTATGCCAAGAGATTTTGAGTCACTGTGGAGTTTGAAGTGAATAACAACTCTAAATAGAAGACAAATCGTTCAAAATATTTGTGCACTTAGCAAAAAGGGCAATTAAAAAATTGATTTCGCAAGTGCTACCAATAGATTTAAGTATTGAAAAAACTTCATGATCGAAAAATCTGATCCTATTACAGAGTTAATGTATTAGAAGTTTTTCTTTGCGATTGAGTCTTGATGTAATCTTAGTTCAATGGGTTAAAAACTAAACTAGGAGTGTTGTCTTCAAGTTGAGATAACTCTAAGACTTGGGAACACATATCTTGAGGGGTCTGTGTTGAAGTTTAGGAATCAGAGTTAGTTCGTAGGATTGCAAAAGCTGTAATCTGAATTCATAACTTGAAGTTTAGAAAGTATAGTTTGTAATCTTAAACTGTTGAGGCTCAGAAATTTAGTGAGGTTAAAGTTAAATCATGGAGAGTACAAATCGTGTTTTCTTACACCTTTTGAGCTGAGCATTTTCCATGTAAAAATATTGTGTTCTTTATTTATTGTTCTTACTGCTTTGTTGGAACACGTTGGGTAACCTGTTTTACACTTGGCCAAAAGTTAAGTTAATTAAGTAAATAAATTACCTACATAGAATAACAAAATCCCTACTGAAAGTAGAGAAAATTAGTTTCAACATTATATTCGACATTAAATTTACCCTTTCGATACCCTCCTACAAGTATAGTTTTTAAAATAAGTAAGAAATTCAATTTTTTTTAAAAATATATATTTTCTTCCATGCTACACACACCATGAGAATAACTTTGATCTAAAACCGTAGCGCAATTGTTAAGAGTAGGGGAGGTCCCATGGATATAATATAATAAACCCAATTTGAAGTCTTTACACAAATAACGAAGAACTAAGTAAAATCTATTACTCCCTCTGTTTCAAAAAAAAAAAAATTTCCTTTCCTTTTTAGTCTGTTTAAAAAAGAATGACCTTTTCCTTTTTCTGGTAACATTTTAATTTCAGTTTTTCACATGGCATGTTTAAGGCCACAAGATTAAAGGGCAATTTCGTACATTTGACATAACTTTAATTTAGGACCATAAGATTCAAAAGTCTTCTTTATTTACCTAAACTCCATGCCAAGTCAAACTAGGTCATTCTTTGTGAAACGGAGAAAGTAACACCCTTTCGTATGTATCAATATAACGTTACACATTTTAAATTGTTTAACATTAGAGATAACTTAGAATCGATAATTCATTATCTAATAAATCACAACACTATAGATGTCTCTGGAAACTCTTATACATTATCAAAATATTTGCTTCATTTTCTTGAAATAGAGTTATATGTTATTTTCTAACCGCAACGGCAATACTCTCTTTGTTTCATATTATTTGATTTTTATTGACCTGATGCACTTTTTAAGAAATCTTTTATTAGAAAAGTGTATTTTATTAAATAAATTTTATTAATGATGCTTTGAAACTATAAATTTGACTATTGCAACTTTATGTAGTTATTTATTGATTTACTGAATAAACAAGTAAAAAATAAAAATCTTTATTTTTTAACCTAGGTGTTAAGCAAAATGAAACGGAGGGAGTATATTTATGTAATTATGTACCACAAAAAAAAAAGCATTGAATTTAATAACCCAACTGCCAACTAATTCTCCCACTCTATAAAAACCCAAAAGGTGCCCAACACTGGCAACATACATTTTTTTCTCTAATATTCTCTAAATATATACATCTCTTTTAAGAAATCAAAATAAAAAAAAAATGGCTGGGAAAATTGCATGTTTTGTGGTTTTGTGCATGGTGATGGTTGCACCCTATGCATCGGAGGCGTTTAGCTGCGGTCAAGTTCAGTCCGGGGTGGTTAAGTGTCTCCCTTATTTGCAAAATCGCGGCCCTGTGGGACAGTGTTGTGATGTTGTTAAAGGTCTCCTGAATTCTGCTAAGACAACACAGGATCGTAGAACTACATGCTCTTGCCTTAAATCAGCTGCTTCTATTATAAAGGGCATTGATATGAGCAAAGCTGCTGGTCTCCCTGCTCTTTGTGGTGTCAAAAGTCCCTTCAAGATTAGCCTCTCCACTGACTGCACTAAGTACGTTCATTTTAATTTATTACTAACAAACTAAATGACTGTTCAGTTCGATTGAACATGTAGTTTAACAAAGACTTTTGAAACATTTTGTCTAGAGGTTAGTATAAAGGGCATAAATGCTCTAGTTTTTGGAAGGCAGGGGCACCAATGTCCTAAAAATATGACGGAGGGTATCTGCATACCATTTACGATAGTTCGGAATATATTTATCCTTTTTTCCCTTTTAATTTTATTAAGGATAAAAATTAAAGTTTAAAATGAACTGTTTTAGAGTAAAGAAGTATGATATTAAGTACTTTAACAAAAAAACTATATTTTTGAAACTTGTAGTCTCGAATAAGCCTTAAACACTTACCTAACTATAAATTATCTTGATAAAGTTTTAACGTTAATTAATTTTCATGTGGTATGTTTAAGACCACAAGATTAAAATGCATTTTGATATATTTGTTATAACTTTAATTTAAGATCACAAAATTAAAAAGTTATTTTCTTAAACTTTGTGCCAAGGTCGAACTAGACTATTCTTTTTTAAATGTAGGGAGTATTATTTTGAAATAAACTAATTAAAAATAAATATGTCACATAAATAATTAAATCGAGGCTAAAGAAGTATGTCTTACATGTTTAGAATTGGTGTTATCTCACATTGTTAAAATTAGATAATGGAGTAACACCAACAATAGTAAATTTGGAACTCCAGAGAAGATTATTGTAAATATTACTAGTAAGTTTGTTGGTTAATGTTGATTTAATCTAATGTGCCAATGCAGAGTCCAGTGAGACCGATGAAAAATCGATTTATCGACGCATAAAATTGGTGTTAGACGTGCTATCATGGTGGCGAAGAATAAGATGCATATGGATCGAGTTTGATCCTGCTTAATTATGGGTTGTCTTGTTGTCTTTTTTTTTTTTTTTCGGTCATAGTGGAGTTGTAATAAAACTTTGGTGATTGATTGTTCTACCATTTAATCTTGGCTAAATGAAATTTTGAGCCAACTAAAAATGTTTGTGTATGACTTTACCCTTAATTCAATGTCTCTTTCATGATTTCATTTTCTCTATTCTCTTACATATATAATATCCAATCGGTGGTGTCTCATTTGGTCCTTTGGAGACTTAATCTTATTTGTAACTAAAACATGTAAGGATTAAATTTTAATTAAATTCTATCGCACCACATGAAAAACTTTCTAGTATCCCTCTACAACATTCAGTTATAAGTATGGTCGACAGCATACTCATTAATCAGATTCTACTAATTAATTAAGACACTGCTCCTTGATTAACAAAATTCTAAAGCCTAAGCTTTTAAAACATAGTGAAGGAGCATCTATAAAAATTCGAGTACAAAAGTTCAAGACATATATAGCTCGACTGTACTAAATAATAATTTACTGGACAGTTGAAAACAACATAATCTAATTTCTTCGGAAAAAAATGGAAGAGGATCCTCTTCAGTGATGATCTCTCCAGTTTTCCCCAGTGCTATTTCATATAGTACGTGTCAATTTAATTTTTAATGGATTAGATTAATTTTCTTGACCAAATATCATTAACCATGGTTATTAGTAATTCTCTCTCCTCTCATTCCTTTCTCAATCAGCAAAGAAACACTTCTTCCCCCTCCAAAACTCTTCGAAAAACAGAGCAATCAAACAATTGAAAATTAAAATTACATCAGTATTTTAATGTTTTTACATTTACATATGAACAACTAGGGAGAGTCTCAAAAGAGAAAGACTGAAATGGAGTGATTAGCCTCAATTAAAGATTACAATTATAAATACCACAAGAAAAGAAGACCCAAAAAATAAATGGAGAATTTCACTAGAAAAAAAATAGTATATGAAAAAATATTTTCCTACCCATTTTTCCCTTTCCAGATCCTTTAGTTGACTTTTGCAGAAACTCCAAATTGAAAAAATTGATGTTACGAAGAAGACGACAGAGTTTTGTGGATCACCATTGTGATCGAACCAAGCTTCAAAGAAGTAGTCTCATGGGTTGGATTTTTAAAATTTTATAACCTAAGTTCATCCTTTGAATTTTATCTTCTTTTATCACGGTGTGAAAATAATTGAAAGAAAAAGCGATTTGTTGTTAACAAAGCAAATTCTTTGCTGATTGAGAAAAGGTTTGTTACAGAATTAAGTGAGAAAGAAAGAGATGAGAGAAGAGAGAGAAAGAGAAATAGTAATAACCATGATTAATGATATTTGACCATGATTTAAAGGCTGCTTTATTTAAATAAATATGAATTATTAAATTTTAAAACTAATAGATGTCATTAAATTAAATATGCACTGGACCAACTGGAGAGATTAGTGTACTGAGAGAGCCTCTTCTGAAAAAAACACCAATTACCACACAATTCTCTGTTCACAATAAACTTATTTTTTAAGTTAAACAATAACAATGGTTACAAATGAAAAAAGATCACAATTACAATTGAAAATAATCAAATTACTGAAACACACTTGATTTCATTAGTTCACCTTCCTGCAATCGACACGAATTTGGCCCTCATTTCCGATTAATGGCTTGATATTACCCATCTTAATCATAGACTCAGCAAAATCTTTTGAAAAAGTCCTTAGATTTGTACGATAGGTTTTAACAAGCTCATCAGTCTCTCCTCCGCTAAACAATGCTTGATCGGAATGCAATAGCCCTTTCTTAGACACCAAGTTACTGAAATATTTGGAGTCAAAAAGAGCAGATGTAGGATCAAGGGAAGCAAGATTGGAATCACCACCACTACGCGGACAATTTGCTTGACGTTGACTTGCAAAGGTTGAGTCGATGTTGTTAGTCTCATCGTAAATGCGATTCCTAAAGGTGGAACACTGAGCAAACCCTAGTGTGTGGCCACCAGAGAGAGCAACGAGGTCTTCTTCATCCAAACCTTGCTTCTTAAAGTTGTCGATAAGTGCAGGTAAGTCCATCAATGGAGTTGGAATGTCATTGTTAGCAGTGGTTCTACTTGCTGTAGTCGAATCCCTTCTTCCTAGTTCCACTTCCCATGTTGGTCCATGTAACTGTGTCAATAATGTAACAAAATATTATACACTAAATTAACTTTAGCTTATACTCCTATATTAGGGGGAAAAATGAGTAATACGCACCGCAACTACGGAGTCACGAGCTGCAACAGCCAAGATGTCCGCACAAGATACAACTGGACGTCCACAAACTTTATCAACCTCCGACTTAATTCTATCGATCACCTCAAATCCTCTGGCTGAATTGTTATTAGCACGAGAAGTCTTTTCACTATCAATTGTAGCCGTTTGATCAAGAAGAATTGAAGCGTCACAACCCTGCATTTATTACAATAATTAGTAACGACATCTCAAGCAATTACCAAAGTACCAAACATTAACTAGCTAGGAGAAAAAGAATCTCACATTAACGAAACAATCATGAAAATGTAATCGTAGCAAAGAGGCACCCATTCGCCTCTCTTGCCTGACTGCATCCTCAACAACCCTTCTAATGGTTGGTAAAGCTTGGGGACAAATATCATCGTAGAAATCATCTGACAAATCCGCAAAAGCCATGCGTGCTAGAGAAAATATGACTAACACATGAAGAAATACCAAGCTATAACTTGAAGCCATTTACCTTTTTGTATAATTACAAAAAAGTAGTTTTTGAAGTTGTACACTTTGTTTGTTGTGTTTATGATTTTGTGATGATGAGAGTAAAATGAAGGCCGTATTTATAGGTAAAAAATAATGTTGACTATAGTAACACGACAATGGTTCTAGGTTTAGCAACTCTCATAAGAATGAGCAACACTTTTGACAATTTCTAAAATGGTTAGTAATTTTTAATTTTTCTGGTCTACTATATTAATCCATGCACGAAATGTCAAGACTTGGTATTATCAATTGTTGCAGATTGATGATTAAAATTAAACCTATTGTATAGGTAACGTGTAGAATAACACCATGTCAATTTTGACTTAGTAAATAAATTGTGCGTGCTAAAACAAGAAAAAGTATTACTCCCTCCGTCCACTACTTTTAGTTGTTATGGTTTCCTTTTTAAAAGTCAAACAATAAGAACTTTGACAAACATTTTACAATGTATTTTTTCATCATATTGATATGCAAAAAATTGTATTAATGTAATAATCTAATTTAACTTTGAAAATTAGTCAAATTAACTTTCGAAAAGCGCAACATTGACAACTAAAATTGGACATAGTAGCTTGCAAGAACAAAATGAGTAAAGAAACAAGAACAATTTAGTGGACTATATCAACCAAAAAAAAAATCCTTCGAATATATATAATAACCAAAAAAAAACTATTAGATCATTTTTATGTGTTATAGCAGATAATTTCTTCTTTTCGAAACTACAAATTTCAATTTTTATGAGAACTTACGTGCAGATATGATTTGAATGACTAGATAGTATAAACATTTTTTTATATTAACAATATCTATGCATAATATAAACTGTTACTTATAAGATACTTACATTAATTCAATATTAATAAATTAATGGCCCATGGCCATAACGCGTCTTATTGGAAAATCTATTAAACAAAATATTGATGATGAGAAGATGCGTGATCAGTAGATCAACAACTACGATTAGAGAATTTCCTTTGTGATGGCTTTAATTAATAGTATTATGGTTTCGCATGCATGTGCATATATATATTGATGATGATTTTATATTGAGATTGATCATGTGAACTGTAGTAAATTGAACTTAATTAGACTGATCATCCACTAGGGAAATTATTTTTCTCGTGTTTGAAAAAATTATTTTCTTAGACAAAAAGTTCGGATTGTTTTTTAACCATTCCGAATATTTGAGATAATGTTTAATTACTAACACAAAATTATTAATATCTTACTTATTGTTTATTTTATTTTTTAAAAGTGATTCTATTTATATTATTAAAAAAATTAAGATCATGTGCAAAATATTTGGTAGTAATACTTTTGGACAAATCTTTACCCAAAAGACACTCCTTCCATCTCAAGCTTCCTCAGTCTAGGGACCTTGGATCTGACAACTCGGCCCATTATTTTAATGGGCCTTTAAATAGTTAGTCTGACAACTCTTTACGGGCCGGCCATATTTTTTGAAGGGGAATTTTCGTAATTAATCACTATAATCTATCTATATATAATAGGAGAAGAAAAATGACACATGTCAACACTACAAAATTCAAAATTTTAAATTATAAAATAATTAAATATTATATAACTAATTAAATATTCTAAATTTGAAATTTGAAATAAAAACACATGTCAAATAAATATCAATTGGTTATAAAACTCCACTTCAAATCAGTTAAAAAATTCAAAATTCAATTTTTTTTTAAATTATATCTAGGACAGATTTAATATTTTTTTTAAAAACTAATTTATACCTTTTTTAAAAAAAAATGCATTTATATAAACACGGACAAAATGTCACCTATTTTTATATAAAAACGCTGACGAATGTCATCACAAAAGAAAGTCTATTTTATTTTTAATATCGTATAAAAAAATTGCTTTTTAATATCCTATAAAGTGGTTTTTTAAAAAACTTTTAAATCTGTTTTTTTTTTTTAAAAAAAGTAGTATTGAAAAATAAACTGAATTTGTTTAGCAGATTTCTAAAAAGTACATAAACGGTTTAAATTCTTAAATAAGTTTTAAAAATAAATTTAAAATTTCAAAAGAATTCAAACACACGGTTTGCAAATCTCTCTAATAAATGAGTTAAAAAAAACGGTTACAGAATTGAAACTATCTATCTATATATAAAAGGAGAAGAAAAAGTGCCACGTGTCAGCACCACAAAAAAA